GTCTAAAGCACTATATGCGAGGAAATCTGACCTGGGTGTCAGACACAGTAACTTAATAAAAGTTCAGACAGACAGAAATAGTTCTAACAGTAGGGTTGTTAAATGTGGTTTAATGAACGTCAGATCAATCTCGTCTAAATCGCTTCTCATAAACGAACTTATTATAGACAAGGGCTTGGATCTGTTTGCGCTCTCGGAGACTTGGCTCCAACAGGACGAGTACGTTAGATTGAATGAGTGCACTCCTCCGACGCATGTTAACTACCAGAAAGCGAGAACTACAGGTTGCGGCGGCGGCTTTGCGATTATATCACACACCAACTTGGTTCTTAGTCCCAAAACCAACAACGCTTTTCACTCGTTTGAAAACTTAACACTTTCAATCACCTGTCCTGGGTGGAGAAAACAAAAAGCAGTACTATTTATAGTTTTATACCGACCTCCTGGTCCTTACAGCGAGTTCCTAACAGAATTCTCTGACTTCATTTCAAACCTAGTTTTGGAATGGGAAAACATAGTTATAGCTGGAGACTTCAATATACATGTGGACGACAGCACTGACAGCTTAAACAAAGCTTTCAGCGCCGTACTAGATGGTGTTGGTTTTACTCAGAATGTCGAGGAACCTACTCACATTCATAACCACACCTTGGACCTTGTCCTGACCTACGGCTGTGATGTCTCCAATGTTGACATCCAGCGTCAAAGCTCGTTGCTGTCTGACCATTTCTTGATCACGTTTGATCTCGCTTTGGAGGACTTTCCTGTCCCGCAAGATAAAACCATAATGAAAAGAACCTTAAATGATAAATCTATCACAAGGTTCAAAGAACTAATACAGCCTATGTTGAATACTGCTGCAGGTGAACCTGTTCACAGCAGCTGCAGTCCCTCAGTCATTGACCAAACGGTGGGCAACACTATGGAGTCTTTAAAATCTGCATTAAATGCAGCAGCTCCTTTAAAACAGAAAACCATTAGGATTAGATCATCGTCGCCCTGGTACAGTGTTCAACTCCACACTTTAAAACAGGACGTCAGAAAATTGGAGAGGCTATATCGCCACTCCCACTCGGAGCCTGTCCACAGGGAGTGGAAAGCAGGTCTCCGAAACTACAAGAAGGCCCTTCGCGGGGCTCGAACTCAATACTATTCAACTTTAATAGAAGCGAATAAAAACAACAGTAGATTTTTGTTTGGTACCGTCGCTAAACTCACAAACTGCCATAGCGCAATCGAGCCTAAAATTCCAAGCTCACTGAGCAGTGTCGACTTTCTCCACTTCTTTAATAATAAAATTACATCCATCCGTGACAAGCTGGAGGAGGTTGCTCCTGCTGTTAGTGGTGGACAGGTTGAAGCGGCATACGTGACTTCCCACTTAGACTCTTCAGTGGGCCTTAATAAATTCATGGCTGTGAGCCAAGCAGAGGTGATCTCTGTGGTCACATCCTCAAAAGCCTCAACTTGCATGTTAGACGCAGTCCCGACATGGCTCTTCAAAGACATACTTCCTTTGATAATTGAGCCTATCGTAAATATAATAAACGCATCCATACAATGTGGCTATGTCCCACAAGCTTTTAAAACCGCGGTAATCAAACCCCTTCTGAAGAAAACAAACCTGGACCCAGAAATACTTACAAACTACAGACCGATCTCGAACCTCACTTTTATATCTAAAATCCTGGAAAAACTTATAGCTGAGCAGCTCCGCTGCCACCTGCAGGAAAATGATATGTTTGAAGTCTTTCAATCAGGATTCAGAGCTCATCATAGCACTGAAACGGCACTAGTCAAAGTCACAAATGACTTACTACTAGCTGCCGATAATGGACAAGTGTCAGTGCTGGTCCTACTGGACCTTTGTGCTGCATTTGACACAATAGACCACAGCATTCTACTGCAGAGGCTAGAATGTGATATAGGTCTTAGAGGAACAGCCCTTGGCTGGTTTAAATCCTATTTATCAGATCGATATCACTTCGTCAATGTGAATCAGGACTCGTCGCCTTATTCTGGAGTGGAATTCGGTGTGCCGCAGGGTTCGGTACTCGGACCGATTCTTTTTACTCTCTACATGCTGCCACTGGGAAACATTATTAAAAAGCATGGAATTAATTTCCACTGCTATGCAGATGACACACAGCTTTATCTGTCGATGAAGCCTAATCAGACAGATCAGCTAGAAAAGCTCAGTGCCTGCATAAAGGACCTTAAAATGTGGATGACTCTTAACTTCCTACTTCTCAACCCGGAGAAGACAGAAGTGATCCTACTCGGTCCGAAGCGCCTGCGTGACTCCCTCACTAACCAGATGGTTACTCTCGATAATGTCAGTATAATACCCAGTAACACTGTGAGGAATCTTGGAGTCATTTTTGACCAAGAACTCTCCTTCAAGGCTTATATAAGCCAAGCAACTAAAACGGCGTACTTCCACTTACGGAACATCGCTAAAATTAGGAATTTCCTTCCTAAAAGTGACGCGGAAAAACTCATTCACGCGTTTGTCACCTCAAGGCTCGACTACTGTAACGCTTTACTGGCAGCGTGCCCTAAAGCCTCTTTGAAGAGCTTCCAGCTCGTTCAGAATACAGCAGCTAGGATCTTAACAGGTACCAAAAGGAGGGAGCACATAACTCCGGTGTTAAAATCACTCCACTGGCTCCCTGTGGAGTACAGAATAAAGTTTAAAATCCTACTCTTAACATATAAAGCCATAAATGGCTTGGCTCCTTCTTATCTCCAAGACACGTTAGTGTCGTATCAACCAAGTCGAGCGTTGCGCTCACAAAACGCCAGACGTCTGGTGGTCCCTAAGGTCTCAAAGGTCACTGTTGGTGGCAGAGCATTTAGCTACCAAGCTCCTTTACTGTGGAATCAGCTTCCCATTTATGTTAAGGAAGCAGATACGGTCTCCACATTCAAGGCCAGGCTTAAAGCACTTTACTTTAATTTAGCATATAATTAGGTAATATATAATATGTAGTGTATATATTATATATATATGCTGTATTATGTTATATATTATGTTATATATTATTCAATAATGTATTGTGTTATGTTGTATATTATGTTATATATTATGCTGTATGTTATTCTTTATTCAAGGCTAGGTTTAAAACAGTCCTCTTTAGTTTAGCATATGGCTAGGAAGGTAAGACTCGGAGAAGGTTAAACTCCTCAGAGTGTTAGTCAAGCTGCATAGGGAGTCAGTTTGCTGGGAGAAGTATGGTAACTTGAGCACTATCCTCTCCTCCTTCCTACTTTATCTGTTTAGCATTTTTAGGATTCTGACTGTAGTTTGTTCATTGCTATTCACCTGTTGTCCCATTGTCTGTTTCATGGTACGATGACGGGATCTCTGAGCCTGGCCTCTTCCATCTACACCTGCGGACTGCCCCGCCCGACCCGCCTGGGAGTGCTTCAGTCCTGCACCGGACCTGTTCCACGTTCAGCGTCCACTGGTCCACGTTCTGTAGCTAGCTTAGGTCCTGGATCATTAGTCTGTCCGTCCGGAGGAGCGGATCCCTTTCTCATATGGGTCTCCCTCCCTGTGGGTTTCCCTAGTTCTCCTCCAAGGTTTCTCACTTTTTCCCACTGGGTTTTTTAAGAGTTTTTCCTTGTCGATGCAGGAGGGTCTTGTTGGACAGTTAGTGTCCAACAGAAAGGATTGGTGATGATCAGGACACTTTAGCATTCTACAACATGTATGGACATTTTCTTCTGTGTGTGCTTTATACTGTATTCTTCATGTGTTTTAACTGTTGGTTCTCTGACCTGTGTTGGTGATTTCAATGGTTTTGTTAAGTCCTCTGAGATGACTTCTGTTGTGACCTAGGGCTATACAAGAATAAATTGTATTGTATTGTATTGTATTGTAACACCTCCCCAGGGAGGCATCCAGGAGGCATCCGGAACCGATGCCCGAGCCATCTCAACTGCACTATTCCAAGCTCCTCACCCTATTTCTAAAGCCTAGCGTACATCGGACTGGCAACTGATTATATCCGTCGCATATGAGTTGCTGCCCCGCACACATCGACAATCTGACAAAAACGGGCAACTCCCAGTATCAGACCAGTCTCGGGAATAACAGCGCGTACATCGACAGCAACTGGCCTCAACTACAGTGTGTTTTCTGACATAAACTGTGGAGGGCTCGCAGTACACGCAATACACACAGGTTGTCGGAGCGGCGCATGGAGCGCGCACATCGGGTCATATCTCTGAAACTGAGGACAACTAGTTGCCGAAAAGTAGAACACGGGCAACTGACTGAAACTGGAGACCGACTGTTTATCTCCAGTTGTAAGAGCGCGCACATCGACCAATTTTGGCAACTGATCATCTCCCATCATCTCCTCTCAGTTGCCAAAAGCCGCCTTGCAACTAGTTGTCTCCAGTTTCTCTGTCGATGTACGCTAGTCTTAAGAGAGCTCCCAGCCACTCTGTGGAGGAGAGCTTCAAACCTCATGACCATAGGTGAGGGTGGGACCGGGACGGGTGGAGGTGAGGCCGACTATCTCTTGTCGGTATTTCTCTACCTCCAACACAAGCTCAGGCTCCATCCGACTTGTGCGGTGATGTTTCACTTCCCAACAGCCAGATAAAATTTACAACATTTTTTTATTTTTTTTACAAATATTGGACATATTTTACAAACACAACTTTGTAAAAGAGCAGCACGTACAAAAAAGTCAGAACTCTGACAGTGAGAGCTTAACACAGCTCCACGGCCCCTTTTTAAAGTATGTCCCTCACGTGACTCACTTTTATAACCTTTTTCACCTGACCCACACGAAAGCCATTTAGTGTTGATTCTGTTTGGAATCTTACAGCAGTTCAAATAGTCATAGTAAATAGTCATAGTAACTAGCCTCCATTGAGCCCCAAGATACTTTGTTCACTATCATTTACTGAATAATGAACTTGACAATGATCCTAATCGGTCTATTTAGAAGCAGCCAAATGTGATTGCGTGTTGCATTGTTTACCTGGGTCGTCCTTGCTCTCGCCTGCCGTGTTGCCAAGTTCAATTTCAAAGTCGACTGTGTTGTGGCCATGATTCCGCGGGACTGGAAAAGAAGAGGAGGGGAGGGGGGGGTTAGATAAAGGATTAACAAAGGTATTAAATTGCCTTCGCCGGTGTCTTTGCTTCCAGCTATGTCCAGGCTTCACTTCAAAAGCATACTGCACACAAGGACGAATGAATGTCACCTGAAAACATTCATCGACAATCTGAGAAGTGAGACAATATTCTATTTATTGAGTGATCGATGGATTGCAACAAGATTAATTCAAACAGGTTTGAACACATTTATTGTGTCATTATCAGATCCAGCTTCTCCAAGTATATACTTCACTAATGGAAGTAGATCTATTCCTTTGTAAATATATTTTCAGACCTGAACCTCTAAAATAGGCATGAAACAGACTCCAGACCTCAATGATGTATGTGATTTGATTTGCTAATAGTCAAATATTCAGACATTATTTTTTTACGTTGTTTACTGTATTCAAAGAAAATGTTAGTTTGAAAGGTTGATAAAAGGTAGAAATTGTAAAGAATATTCTGGATATCATCTCTAGTGCTAAACCATGTGTTTGTATTATTTTAATTCAACTCATTCATACCTTTCATAACACTTATTTTATGTATAGTTTTTATGTTGTTTTTGGTTGCAGGCTATTTTCTGACTTTCTCTCCAAAAACATCTCTCTCAAGGACAAACCCTGTCATCTTTCATAGCATTTTTTTTATTTTTATGGCCGAGACAACCATACGTCTGCTCACATGGTCTCAGATGTGAATCCCAAAGAGGAGCCTTCTGAGAGTGAATCTGATGCAACGTCTGGGAATATGTTGTCCACACTCACACACATACACACACACATACAGACACACACACACACACACATGCACACACAGACACCCACACACGCATACACGCATACGGTATATACACACACACACAGACACAAACACACAAACTCAATCACAGGCACACACACATGCATACACATACTCAAACACACACAAGGACACAGACACGAAGACACACGCACACTCAGACACAAACACACACACGTACACACATTCATAGACACACAAACACACGCACACAAACAGTTAAATCTGAAATAGCCTCCCTCGGTGTCCAATGGGGTCAGGACGCTCAAAATACTAAAGGTCAAGCCTCATATTAAAGGTCAAATGACAAGTAAGCCTTGGGAATGACGTGGCTATTATAAAACCTTCCTCGGTTTTGTGAAAACCAAAGAAAAGGTCATTTTAGAACAAAAGAATGTGACTCGCAACGCAATTATTAGCTCTTTCTGTAACGGAAATGTGCATGACTAATGTGTAAGTATGTGCTTGCGTCTCCAGAAGTCTGAGCATATGTCATGCTGCGAGACCCATCTGTCCGTGACACAGGAGCAGTCGGCCTTTCCAATGATTCCAAGAGCAGAGGGACCACACTTTCACCTGGCTCTCCAGCATTCCCAGGAAATCCAGGATATTTCTGGAATAGTCTATCTCTGTTCATTAGAGCAGCTCCTTCATTGGAAGATTTTTAATATAGTCTAAAGACACATTTTTACACCTTGGCTTTTACAGTAACACCAACATGTATGTATTTTATGCTGTTTTCTTTCGTGTCTGTGAAGCACTTTGGGCAGCCGGTGTTGTTGTAAATGTGCTACACAAATAAAGCTAACATTGACAATGACAGGATACATTTTATGTCGTGAATGCCGACTGTCCTAGTCTATCATGCACCTATTAGAATGTATGACTATACTGCTTTATAACAGTTGATTAAACATACATTAAAGTGACACGGTCCCCCAAAGGTGTGTGAGGGAGCATGTGTGTGTGTGTCGTGGAGCATTTAAACATTGCTTTGACCTGAGAAATATATCAAAGGCACTTACATTTGCTGAGATTACATTAACACCTCCTTTTTACTTCTTTGAACAATGACATAGATAAAAGCAGCATCTCTGTGTCTGGCTCTCAAACAAATCTCAGCAGACACTATAAAGTAAGAAAGTTATAAAAACACGCTCAGACTAGATGTTAAACACCATATCTGTTTAGCTACATTTCACAGACTTGTGGCACTCTCAACTGAGAGGGTTTCTGAACTCTGATCTACTATTGATGATTTCTGCAGTCAGTTGCCATTTCCTCTTCACAAGCAGAGGGAGCTGTTTTGTTATTTTGTCTATCCCACTTTTGCTTGTAACTAACATAAAATAAGCCGACAATTTTTCTTTTGGATAAACGATTAGTTAAATCCCAAAAGTGAACGTGGGATTTGTTCTGCATCTGAACAAGACAAAGCTGAAGTGATGTCTGGGAGAACATCTTTGACTTGTTAGACGTCGGGCCAGGTGAGTAATAATACTTTATCAAGACATTTCCATTTCATTTTGCAGTATTTTTGTGATTGGAGTCACACAAGCAATGAAGTGGCAAATGCAATAGGCTCTACTACTCTACATACACTACCAGTATTATCTGTGCATTCAATGAGGGGAATAATTATGAGCTGGTCTACACAGCTTTGACACAAACAGCAAGATATACGTTTGAGAGGTTAGAATAGGATTACTGGAGCGAGGGGAACTGCAACTGTCACCTGACGCACTGAGAATCCACAAGGGTTCACGTATTTATGACGTCTTGAAATTGAGTGAAGTGACCCCTAATAGATTTGTTGACATCTGCTGTCATCTGCTCTACTTGCATTGATTTGGAAACACACATCTCGCAATGACTCCATAAAATACAATACATTAAAAAAAAGTAAATTATGCGCTGTTTGCAGACTGTTATTTGCTCTGGTGTGGAATAGCTGTGCTCTGGTGAAGGCTAGAGTCGGGCTGGAAGAGGAATTTGGAGCCTACTGTGTCCAAAATGAACCGCTCAGTGCCAGACTGACAGACAGAACAACAGAGAGGAAGAATTAAGAAATATTTAGCGTGGAAATGTCTGGAGGAGGAAAACGCTAAATGAAAATGTGGTCTAGAATATGCGTATGACACATACAGGACATTATTTCTGTTGGTATGTTTATTGGCCATGTGAGAGTCCAGAAAATCAGTTGTGCATCAAATGTTATATATGAGAGTGTTATATACGTGTTGTACCATGGACTAATACTTTTGAGTGTCGACTGGAATTGTTAACACTTTGAAATTTGAGGAAATAGAACCCAAAACAACCTCAGCTTCCAACTTAACACCCAAAATTAAAGCAATAATCTCAGAGGACATTACAGAAAATGGTAGTTTGCCAAAAAGTAGCCAACAACAGGGTTAAGGGTCCCCAAATATGACCTCACGGACTCCGAATTGCAATCATTATTATTAATTTGCAAGCATAGGTGCTGAGCTGTCATGGCATGTTGTACCTTGTTCACATTTTTTCAAGAAAATAATCATTCCAGTACTCAGAAAAGAGAAGACAGTTGATTAATTAGTATACTCGCTTGTGCACCCATAAATTAGACAATCAAGGAAATACAATTATAAAACAAATAAGAGCCAATCATTGGGATCCGCAATGTCGATAAACGAAATCGACTAAAGATTGATTGATATATTGATATTTGATAAATGCCCCGGATCATCAACCGTCCTTAGTCCCTTCTACCTAATTCTAGTCAATTGAATTGCGCTTTCTAACTACCGTGCCTAAAAAGTCACCAGTCTATTTGGCGCAGCGTGATATCTCAACAATATTTCATTATCTTTGTGGCTTTGCAGAGCAGCCAATTCGTCTTGGCTTTCTTCTTCAACAAAAGCTCATTCCCTGACAGTAATAACATGCGTGCTTCCTGATGCGCATGCAGAGGCGGGTGAGTCGGCCGCACCTGCACCCCGCATCTGAGTGTCATTATTAGCCTCTTCACTGAGCACCTCTCCTCCTTCAGACTGGAGAAGCCTGCCTTTGATTGATGCGAGCGTTGAGCGGTGGCGACAGGTGCTAATGTAATCTTTCCCCACTTTTCCCATTCTAATTATGCGATGCCATCTGGATAGGTACGTTAGCAATGGTATCTGATCCCACACGCTTTTGGTCGCATCCTATTGTGGTCGCTTGGTGTTGTGATGCTCCGGCTAAAACTGGTGTGTTTTTTCAATGGGGTTAAAAGGTTGAATGACTGTCATGGCTGGTTTAGGAAAGAGAGAAAAATACTGTTTTCATTGTAGTTTGGGTTTGATAAGTGATGATGAAATGTTTCTGCAATTTGTGTCAGTGATTTGCGTTCAGCTCAGAGCCCTAACATGGTAGAATGCAGGCTACAGGCTCTCACTATGTACACAATCATGCTAAGGGCTCTTTAATATAAATATTGATATTAGATACAATGCTGTTTTTAATTTTGTAACATATAAAAAACTAAAAATATAAAATCTATGGTTCGTATTTTTTAGATTGATCCTATACATTTTTGGAGATTGGGGTTTTGACTTTAACAACAATACATATATGCATCAATAATGTTGTATTTTTGCTCAAACAGGGTAGAGCATTATTTGTTAAGCATTCATCATTTTTTTACTGAACTGCATGGAATCATAAAGAAATATGTTGTATCGAATCGTATCAAATTGAAAGTTCCTGCATCAACAAACCCTCGGTATCAGCAGGCTCTGTGAGATACCCAGCCCTAATCATTCATGTGTAGATGTGGCAGCGCTGTCCAGTTCTGGGTGTGTATACAGTGTACTTTATGACCCAATTACCCAGTTCTGTAACCTTCATACTGTTTGCCATATACTTTATTGTACCATCTGGTAAACGCAAACAAGGTGGAAGCCAGCTTGTGGAGTGCCATGATATGTGTCATCGCCTTTACGCTAATTTGTAATGGTCACATTTATATAGCGCCTTTCCATCCAAAGCTCTTTGCATCACCCATTCACACACGTTCTATACTCTGGTGTGTGCAGACACTAGGGGAGAGGAGGGTGTAGTGTCTTGCCCAAGGACACATGGCAGCATTAATCAAAGGGAGCTGCTTTTACACCTGCCAACCAAAATTACTGCCGCAACAAATTGGGTGTTCATCCATAATTATCTATCATTTATAAATTGAGATTTAAAGTAGCAATATGTAAGATTTTCATGTCAAGTCATAATTAAATGGCCCAAATCTGTCAAAAGGCATTAATAAACCTGCTCTTTTCAAATACTTTTTAACCGATCATATTAGTAGTAGTAGCCGAGATATTTGAATTCCAAAACTATTTTTACAGCCCCAGTGTGTCTGGTGTCTCGCTTCTGTCATGGGAATGCATGGGAATTTCCTTTACAGCAAAAAATTGTAAAACACTTTGCGTGACCTTGGTTTGTTAAATGTGCTTTTTAAATAATATGGTTTACTTACTTATTTATAAACCGTACACTTTCACACTTGGCTTGATGAGAACATATTGTTGTTTTGCCCACAGGCACCAACACCAGTTTTTTGTTGTTTTTTTGTTCCAAATTGGGTCTTATTCAAGTCACTAATGTATTCTGGAACATTACGTTTATGCATAAGACAGATTGTGTTGAGCTTTAACTAAGGCTCTATTGAAGACAGTGTTTGCCTAATCGTATTACAGAAGCACATACGCTGGCAGGTGAACATAACTTTGGCGCCCTAGGCCCCGGTGCGGCCTTCAGAGCGGAGGGCCTCCATGCGAAGGAGCGTGCCAATCCCCAAAAGGCTGTGTTGATGGAGTTTTGCAGCCTGGTTTGGAGGGGACAGAACGACGAGACTACTCTATGCTGTGACCGCTATCGCTATAATGCTGTGACCCGCTATCGCTATAAACTGTGACCGCTATCGCTATATACTGTGACCGCTATCGCTATATACTGTGACCGCTATCGCTATATACTGTGACCGCTATCGCTATATACTGTGACCGCTATTTGCTGTGACCAAACTTGCGGATACTCAGCTGCAGCCGCCACCAGGAGTTTAGCGAGTGTTTTATGGAGATGCCAAAAGCCGCTGGGCTGCCAGGATGGTCGAGGTGTCAGGCCTGATGTATGAGGAGAGGGCCGATGATGACCAGCGGCCCAGCTGCTGGAGGGCGGAATGGGGGAGCCCCAGTGACGCGGCGCGCGTGGCGGCGCCTATCCGAAAGGAGTGGGCTGTGTAGAGATGGGGAGACAGATTACAAAGCAGCAGTACATACTTGAGTTGGGCTCTGAACCATTTGGGGGACATAGGGAGGTTTTCAGGGGTAAGAAATAACGGTCCGTTGAGATCCCCTTTCCGAGAGCGGAGGCGAGTGTAATGCATCATGGATTGTGACAGCAGAGGGCGGAATGAGTGGAATGCAGTGGGCGTGACAGAAGCTGGAGTAGACTTTCCACGCGAAACTGTATGATTTCAGTGTGGAAGGTGAGAGACCCATCTTCGTGTAGGATGCAGCGGAGGAGATGAGGAGGTGAAGAGACGGAGGGACTAGTCCAGGGCGAGGGATTCCATGCAGGGGATCTGGCATGGTGATGGGTTGGCAGAAGGGCAGAGGCGTCGGAACTCCTGGAAGTCGAGATTATCACGCATGACGGAGATCCTCTTTCTCTGCCACGTGTGATTCCGCCGCGCGCAGGCCACGACCACTGGGAATATCTCGTGTAGGGCAGAGGAGATGCTCCGGTGGAAAGTAGCGGCCACGGCCCGGCAACCCAATGGTCCTGGAAAAAACCCCCAAAACCCACGGAAGGGGCACGTCCGTGTAGAAGCGGAGACCTGTAGGGGCAGAGACATATCGGAGAGGGCCATTGAAGTTGCAGGCGCCCTTACGCTTAGAATCTTGGGTTGGAGAGTAGATAATCAGGATAGTAGGATGGTCGGGAAGCCGCGTCTCGGACCGCATGAAGGTTGAGTGTGCAATGGTGAGACGCTTATGCAGAGAAGCCACAGAAGGCGAGCCGGAAGATGCTGCGAGGAGGGCAGACATGTACTTGGAAGACGAGCCGGAGTTCAGTGCCGCTCAGAGCCGCTGCAGGATGGGCAGCATGATGGGGAGCCTGCGATCAGAAGAGTGAAGAATACAGGTATGGATGCCTTTGATTAGGAGTCCGATTGACGGCTCAGCGCAGCTACTCGGCCGGCTGCATCTGATAGAATCAGAAGATTAGGTAGAGAGATGAAGCATGACCGCCGAAGCGACCCTGGGAGCATAGGTACGAGGTCAGCGCGGCGCGGCATACTCGGCCGGGCAGCGTCCATTAGAAACAGGATAAGCTTCTGAGAGAGTGGGTTGCAGCAGTAGCGGCAGCAGCAGCGGCAGCAGCAGTACCTCAGATAATACAGCGATAACCTGTACCAAGCCGCGGCAGCAGCAGCAGCAGCAGCAGTAGTAGCAGCATCCTTAGAGATTAACAGTAATAATCCTGTATCAAGCCACAGCAGTAGAATGTTGTCATAGCTGATCAGTGTTTCAGTAAAGAGATGCATTGAAGAGATATGGCAAGTAAATGAAGCAGCAGCAGTAGTAGCAGCAGCAGCAGCAGTAGCGCAGTAGCCAGTAGCAGCAGCAGCAGCTGCAGCATCCGTAGATAATAACAGCAATGATCCTGTATCAAAGCCACGGCAGTAGGATGTTGTTGTAGCTGTTCAGTGTGAGGGATTTAAACAGGTTTTACGGTCCAAGTGAGGGATTAACTGAGCCCGCAGTCCAAGTGAGGAGTTTAAACTGAGATTTTACGGTCCAGTGTGAGGGATCCAACAGAGCCTGCAGTTTTTAATTTATTTATTTATGTACTTATTTATATTTATTTATTTATATTTATTTATATTTATTTATTTATATGTATTTATTTATTCATTTATTTATTTTTAATATATAGCGTTCCAGATATAGGCAGTACCATATATGCAGTTCCATATACTGCATAACAGTTCCAGGTATAACAGAACCATATAAGCAGTTCCAATATAGCGGTTCCATATATAAGCAGTTCCATATGAAGCAGTTCCATATGAAGCAGTTCCAGATACGGTACAAAGTTCCAGATATAAGCATTTCCTGATATAAGCATTTCCAGATATAACATTTCCAGATATAAGCAGTTCCAGATATAAGCAGTTCCAGATATAAGCAGTTCCAGATATAAGCAGTTCCGTGGGGATTAACCTGAGAGCTCACAGACCAATGTAAGGGATTCATTTTGGGAGCCGCAGTCCGAGAGGGATTTAAACAGCGCTTGCAGTCCAAGAGAGGGATTTAAACAGCTCGTAGTCCAGAGAGGGATTTAAACAGAGCCTGCAGGCCAAAGTGAGGGATTAAAACTGAGGTCTTGCAGTCCAATGTGAGGGATTAAAACTGAGGTCTTGCAGTCCAATGTGAGGGATTAAAACTGGGTTCTTGCAGTCCGATGTGCGGGATTAAACGGAGTTTGCAGTCAGAGTGAAGGATTTAACGGAGCTTGGTTAAAGAGAGCCTGCAGACAATGCGAGGGCTTTAAACTGAAGCTTGCCCACCATGCACGGGGCCAACTGAGCCTGCAGTACAAAGCGAGGGGAATAAACCGTCCGCAGATCTCATACTTACCCACAGCGCCAGAAGACAAGGGACAACACAACGGGACCACACCGTACCGGCACGAGGAGGCAGGGATGCGCACGGCTCCCACCGCACCGGGCCAGACCGGCCGTATGCAGCAGCAGGCCGCGACGAGACGAGCAGCGGCGAACCCGCAGAAAGAGCCCGCAAAGGAGGAGAGCGGCAAAGACCCACGGACCACAGCACTAGACCCGCAGCAGGTGCAGCCACAGAAGGAGCAGACCACGCAGCAGACAGAGGACAGCAGGGACATGCACGAGTAAGTGAGAGCAGACGAAAGCGATTCCTCCAGAACGATTCTTTGCAAGGCTTCAGGAGCATGCGAGGCTTCGAGAAGGCAGAGAGCGGGAGTTTCTCCGCTTTTAAGCGGCTTGCCTGGCCGGTGCGGTGATTGGAAGGGGCGTTTGCAGCGCGATAGACTGGGGATGAGAACCGGCCTGGAGGGGTTACCTTTGGCTAACGTCTACCAAATTGAACTTTCGCTGGCTGCATTAGATAAAGCGGAAGGAAATTGATGGACGAATGGGACCAAGTCTTAGAAAAACAATTCTTATGCTTTTTGTCTGTATGGTTTATAATATTTTATACTTTGTACAAAGCAAAGTAGACTATGATTGCCATCTTTGTCACACCCTCTAAATAAGGTACGCAGACTGGAGTTATATTGTTCTCTTTTTGTGCGGACCCATTTTTAAATAATTACAAAATCCCACGGAAGACTTCAGGACTGACAAATGCCTTGAAAGTAAACAGCGTAACAATGGAGAGGCTTGTCTTTGGCCTTTTTGTGTCTACGTGTTTGTTGCTGCTATTACATTACGCTTGTAGACGTCAACAAACCAGCAAATTTACCTTTGGCGCAGTGTGGGTGGGGGTTGATGGATAGGGTTACACCAGGTCAACCTCCGCAGAATTGCCCTTGTATGACTCCATAGATTGAAACAAAAGGTTGCATGCCTTTTAATGGCTTCTTAAATCTGGCTAATTGTCGTTCATATGGCTAGTTTAATCTTACGCTGACATACTATGGAATGCCCCTTTCAAACCGGCTTGCATTGGCACTTTGTAATGATCGAACATCTGGTGCGAGCTGCTACTTTGGCCTCTTCCCCAAAAGCAGCAAATATTTAGAAATTGCCTTTAAATCCATAGAAACCCTTACACCGCATTTTGTAATGGCCCATATTATGTTAGGCAATTGTGTTTGACTTGACAGCTCGACTGATAAGTTAAGCAATTTGCAAGAAAGAGGGGAGCGTCTGAAATATGAGGCCCACTCGGAGGAAGCTGAACAATGCGAAGACATCAATAAACTCTGTCGTCAATTAGGAAGGATTGTTGCGAGCCCCTCACAGCGCCCACAATGAGTCGATACTTCTAGTTAGACGTGTGTCTGGTGGGATTATTGGACAAATCTATTGCTGTGCACAAATAGGTAAAAGGCTGGTTTTCCAATTCAATTGCTTCCATCATGTTCTCCGTGTTGTATCCTCATTGGGCAACAAGAAGGAAAGTGCAAAAGATTTAGGTTAATGTGAAGATTCATTTGTTCGTTTGTGTAATTGGTCGGTGCAAAAATGTATTCAGTGTTTAAAAAATATGTTTTAGCTACACTTGGGATCATTGCATTTCACCAAAGGGCAGTAATAAGCCGGCAATCCAATTTAAGAAGAGAGTGAGTTTTATATTATATTGTGGAGAACTATGAAAATGGAAGACTGAAATCAATTAAGTCCTCGCAACACTTTATGTAACTTTGATGGTTTGTTATATAATATTTATGACTACATAAAAATACAACCTAAAGTGCATTATGAACTTTGTATTTGAAAACAATTTTCCGACTTAGCAGCTATAATAGTGGGAAGTATGGTGCCTTTACTTTCATGGTTATATCTCCAGCGCTGAAGGAACAATTGTTTGGCAGGTTTACTGGTGCGGGGGTCCCACAGCAGCGAAAACCTTCCAGACAATTGATCTTATAGCATCCTAGAGACCACTGAAAATGTCCAAATGTTTTCCCAGATTGAAGTCACAAACCTGCCATATTGTTTCTTTTTACCGGCCAACATAATGCATATATATTTTTGTTTTAATGTTTTCATCATCATATGTAGCAACAAAGAAGATGTGGAGCTTTGTTAGAGAAATCCCCTCTAAACAAGACGAGAAATCAGACTTTTGAGTTACCATGGACACCATTTTAAACTCTCAGCTCTTTTTAATGCGTGACTGCAACATTACATATACTACATACCAAAGACCACAAGGGTCATGCGCCATACTATTTCAGCAAACCAGTGTGATTCTCTGGTTACTACTCCCTTTACTTTTTTATGATCCAAAAAGTCACCATAAAACTCCTCATAAAATAATATCCCCAGTCCGGAAACATTCCATTATAGTGTCCCAACACCTGTGCGAAGCCCCTTCTGCTGCCCCCTGCAATCACTCTTTATGATGGATGTCCCACCCTCCCCCTCCTCCTCCTCCTCTATCCCAGCCCCGGTCACAGAGCCCTGAGTCACCCAGACCACACGGCTGCTTCCCGGAGGAGCCCCCAACGTACAGCCTGTTTTTAGCGGTGCACAGGTTAAGTGGTTTGTAACTGCCTCCTTCATCGGTTGTATACTTTGTCGCACAAGAGGTGTTTTCGTAATCTCATGCTTTGCTCATATTTCACCTCACCGACTTATAAATCTATGTTGCAATATTCACCCAATCTGTTTTTAAGTCATGAAAAAAAGGCTCATGTTCAGTGAGCTAAACTGGAGTTGCGTTTATCAAATGTAAAAATATGACGGTGGAATAACAACTGGTGTTTTGTTGCTCTAGTGGGTTTCTTATACATGTCTTGGGGCATTGATTTCTTTTCCTAAGTTGTCACCAATGATACTACCTTTTTCCACCTCTTTTGACAAACGTTGGCTAATATTTTAGGAATTCTGTCCTTATCTTACTCTCGCTGGACCTTGGCTCAACAATATTCCAATTACAGACGTACACACACTCCGACTCTGCTGCGGGTCTTGCGTAGGCCGGGTTGTTCAGAAGATTATTTCCATAACTGTAATGCAGTTTGAGCATGTTTTTATTTATAAATTGACTTAATGGTTATGATTGATTACTTCACGCAAGGGATGTCACAGAGCAAGCCTGTTTTAAACTAGGCTAAACCTCATGTTTGTTTTGTTTGTTTTTATTCAGATCCCCATTAGCTACTGAAAGAGACAGTAGCTATTCTTCCTGGGGTCTATATACTTCATGTCACACAATATAACGTACAAAGGACAAAAATGAATGTACAAAAACAAAATTATATATATACATACACATATATATACACACTACACATGTACACCATACATACACATATATACACATACATACATACACACATACATATACATACATATACATACATACACACATACATAAGCACGCACGCACACACACGCACACACAAACAATACAGAAACGTTATAACAAAAATACACAGTAACCATCTATACACACAGACAAACACATCCACACGGCAACATTAACAGCAGCAACAAAAATAATCTAAATTTAAAAAATGTCTACATTACATTTTAAACATTCAATTATCCAAATAATGTAAATACAACTCAAAAATACAAAAACAAATCAGTAACATTCTTCAGTGAAAAGGAAAACTCTCAATCTTGTGTGTGTCTACTGTAACATAAATTTATATTTTAAATTACAGGTATATCTATTTTATATGGGTTTAATTTGTTTTTGCAAATCATTAACATGTTATAAAAATCTGTTTACTGAAGAATGGTCAAAACGTTAAGATGAGTATCATGATGTTTTCTTCTTTTTCATTCGTATAAAACTATCATGTATCTAGTGCCATTCCAAAATATGTATTAAACAATGAAACTGTCACACGCTCTTTGAATGAACTATCCAACACGATGAACCTAAATCATCCGAGGATTCTGGTGTGTTGTTGCAATGTCCTATATAGTGATTGCTTTTGCCCATTCTGTGGCCTCGCGTTCACAGAAATACAGTGTGGACATACCCACGCAGGTCCGCCCGTCCGGAGCCAGCTGGAGGCCGGGTGATGGACACTGACATCGGACCTCTCCTTTCAGCACCTCGCAGCCGTACTGGCAGTTGGCCATGCCACAAGTGCGCGCATCTGAGGGGACAGGCAAAACACATTAACACATGGGCCAAGGGGGCGGTCAGGGGGGCTTCATCCAAACACAGTCACAGATTTAGAGCCCTGTAGAACATGAGAGGATGTAAGGAGACAGCATAATGTTAGCACTGTTCCTACAAGGAGCGCTGAGTGGGAAAACCTGGGGCAAGGGACTTTGGATTAACAGGAGACAACTGGAGATAAACGTCAAGAGTTTTGAAATGTTTGTCTTGTGTTTAGAGCAGACTTATCATGTTGATCGGTCAGTTAAAACTGGAGTACATGACGTGGAAAATAAACAATTAAGAATGTATGTAATAAGATCTATGTAACTAGGTCCTTGCTATGAAAGTTATTTGGTTCTATCACTCGTGCTGACATGCAAGGCTTTAGATCAGCTTTTTTAGACAGAAAAGTGAAAAAGAGAGGACCACCAGCCTCCAATAAGCACTCAGTTTTTGAAGAATCATGTTGTGACCTGCTTTGTTTTAGCTGGGTAAAATATGTCGTTTGTCCCAACAGGAAGTTGACCACTCCACAATGTGTTTCTTATTAGAAAACATATTTTTCATATTTTGAATTAAAAATAAATAAATGTGGGTCCCTATCTGTCGCTTTAGACTGAAAGCTGATTGGCTGAGGACCTCTCTTTTTCACTTTTCTGTCTGAAAAAGCTGATCGAAAGACGTGACAGAGGCAAAAAACACACGCTTGTGATTTTGAGAGTTTTGAGAGTGAGGAATTACTATCAAATTAAATACATAGTTAAATTTTAGTGGTTTGAAAGTTAGATACTCCAGCTTTTAATGAACGCGCTTGTGGACAGACAGACATGCAACGATAACGGCATTCCATTCGACAATCTTCCTCATAATTGTCCATGTTTTTTCTCCACACTTTAACCTTGCTAAGTTGGAAGCCGGTTCCGCAAATAGCTCTTGGGTCACCCCGACTTGCTTCCTAATTCCACTTTCTCCTTGCCTTGTGGTTGGAGCATTGATGTGTGCGTGCATGTGTGTCAGTATGAGTAGAGCCTCCTCTTCTCCTGATATTAGCCTGTTCTTGACCTCTGGGTACTCTTATTAGATTCTTGGCTGCAGTCCCCCCTCCCCCCGGAATCACTTTCTCAGGTCCACTCACAATATTGCACCCCTATGTTGTTGCACTGCTCTGGACCGTTACCAAATAATGAGGTAAAAGAGTGCACACTTGATAGCTTGGACCCTTTAAAGAGGAAATTAAAAGTGGGCAAGGTGCCGCGGGGAGCCAACAGTGGCGCTTTGATGACGGCGGCAGGTCTAGTTGATTAAATGCTACAGCGGTCTATCGATCGGGAAAGCAGCGGCAGAATCAGCAGAAGGCAAAGACGAGAGAGTGTGCGACTGACACCGCCAAAAGAGAGGATGCTTGCTGTGGATCCTGCCGCCATTTGCGATAATTACAGTCATTCATGTCCTCATTGGTCTCATTGGTGTTTTAGTTAGAATTTGGGAAATAGACACAGTCGCACCTAGTATAAAATTGAGGAAATTGTGTGATCAGTTAAGAGCATAAAGTATCAGTGGAGAATGATTAAAACTGTGTTCAATATTTCACTCAAAGAAACAAGTTTGATATTCAGGTAAATGAGAAGGGAATAGATAAACGTGAAAAGAAAGAATTATTCATGAATACTTGCATTGTACATGTTTTGTTTATAGATGAGCCTCGAGATTGAGACACCAAGGAAGTTAGAGTCAAATCTATAATGAAAATGATGAGTAACAATGACAAATTTAACAGTGGAGAGCGAAGCCAAAAATCCATTCAAGACCAAACGGTCTCTCTGTTTGGTCGTTTCATTTCAGGACAGTTTAAAAGTGGCCTGTAGAAAGATAGATTTGTGAGCACAATAGCTCTTCTGGCTGAATCTGCATCATGTAGGCCTGGATGCTGATATTTGTTAAGTTGCATTGTTCTTGAAAAGACAAAATGAGATAAGTAAAATCGATCAATCACAAGTCTTATTCAAGCTCTTCAACATCAAACTTTGGAGGAAGGGTTTAATTTTGTATCCAAATTGTTCCTTTCTTTGAGATTCAGAAACTTTTTTAGATAAACACCTGGCCATATACAGTAAGTCAACAGCCAACACAGTCTATAATTCATATAATTAAATATATATAATTAATAATAAGTATAAAAACAAAAGACCCAAACTTGAACATACATATGTCTCAGTCACCAATGTTCTTGAACTCATTATTGCTAATGCTTAGTAACATTAAAATGATTTTTGCGTTTTTTGTTTTTTTTTCTTTGAGAAGAAAATATGTGCTCAGCCAGACATGTTTCATTTCAATAACATTATATTCCTGCACCAAAGATATTCTAAAGCGTGCTATTATTCATTCCCCTAATGTACTGTACTTCTATCCACATTATTTGAGCTGAGTGCAAGATCATAAATAGCAATATTACAGTGGCAGTCTTCCATACGCAATAATGTTGTGAGAAAATACTTTTATGTGGTGACAAGTGCAGGCATCAGCTCTTGTTCTGCACCTCGGGCCAGCTAATAAGAAGTGAGAGTGTGGAGATGGGCTTCTCGTACACATTTCTCATCTGGGTCTCCTAGGGTTCTTCACGGGGGATAAAACCACAGGGCTGTTACAATAAGGTGGATGAACGCAGGCTTTAATCAAAACAGTCTATCACAGGACTGTCATACTTGGCTTTTTATACAGAAAGTGCTCCACAATATAAATGAATGTATTTGAACAGAGAAGCCTGCTGGATCAAAGAAAGAGCGATTATGCAAAACAAATTGGAGGAAGGTTATATATTCATTTCAGATGTTTGCGTGCTCTAAATTTGCACCAATTATAATATTTACCATTTAAAGGATTTTTTTTTGTAATCAGATAAAGAAAACTCATTAGAGCAACAATTGAGGGGATTAAAAGCTTAGCAATAGGCACAAAGATGAATTCACAATCTATGTATTTAGGAATTGTGAGTGTTTGGTGTTTATGGATTCTGGTCGCCTCTTGCATATGTCCCCAGGGAAAGCCCAGGACACACCAGAGGGCATACCCTTGTCCGGCCTGATAACACTTTGCCTGAGGTCTGGACAGGTGGATGGATAAAAGATGAATGGTTGTTGAAGCATACTTGAAATATCGACATTGACATTGACATAACGTGTTTGTGTTTTTTAGTATTTATGATTTCTATCCCTGAGATCATGTATGTTAATAGGTTTATCATTTGCATAATGGCAAAAGGTACATTACTATAACAAACCATAAAATACATTCAGGTTAGTTTTGTATTTGTTTGTTTGTTTTAAAACGCCCCTCCTGCTCTTACTCAAGGATTCCTGTCAAAGTCACTCTTCTCAGTGGAACACCAGCATCACCTTTGACTGCACCTGTGGGGTCTGCTGCCATGAGCAATATGGAGGTCCCCAGGCACTTTACGCAGCAGGTTGCCAATGAGACTCCGCCAGCAGAACTGAAGGATTGCTTAAAGGCACACTTTCAGGTATTCTTTAAGCCAGGAAATAGCCAAAAGTGGAAATGTTGATGTTTTTGATGTGCGCAATCTGAGTGCTCTAGTTTCCTCCTTTTATTCTGCTGTAATGTCTGCAACTATGACATTGAAATGTCCCCACTGTGGGACAAATTAAGGACTATCTCATCTTATCTTTTGATAGCACTGAAAAAGTCTCAAACTGGTTCCTTATCTTGAATGTGCTTGCATCTGGTTCAGCGCATTTTTTCAGTAATTGTTTTACTTTGTATGATGACACTTTCTTACCAGCATCTGCAAACATCTTTACAAATAATTTAGCTTTTGCTCATCTGCATAATAAGTAATAGCTTAAAGTAAAGTCGTTTCAACATTAAAGCTTTTTGAAATTGATGAACCATGGCTTGGGGAAACACAGCCATGCAATTTTAAAGAACATTATTTCATATGAAAAATTGCTATGACTAATTTAGGGTCAAAAGCTTGTTTTGTTTACGTGATGTCATAGTAAAACAATGACATCATACTATTAAAGGACTGAGACAGGAGCTTGAAGATGGAAGGGGCATTGCTGCATGTGTGTGCCACAAGTTCTCTGACATGGATAGATCTAACAACAACTCCAGGTGTGCTTTTGATATGGGAACAATGTTGCATAATTAAAAGCTAAAAGTCTATTCTGCATAATGTATCTGGGATTCTGACTTTTCGTGCTGTACAAAGAAACTTGATGTACAGATTAATTTGTCGGCTGAATCAATGTCAGAACGTGATCATAATGAGCCTGACTAATAACAGAATAAGTGCCACACGCTATCAGTCTGAACTGTGGTGTCACTGGTACAGTAGTCTGCTGTATATATGTACGCTTATTTTTATAATTGTGTGATGTCTTTCTTATCTGGACCTAATAAAGTTTAATAATATCTCCTTTCCCAATAATGTGGCATTGAGCAAATAGTAGTACAACAAAAAAAAGCAGTAAAAAACCTAAAACAGGAGTCAGATTTAACTTCAGACATGTCTTTTTACACTGTGTTTGTAAAAAGCTGTTTCTGCTGTGCTTCAGGCTAACATATGTGTGACTCACTTCCACAGCTCCCGTCGGGCATCTGCATGTATCCGTTGAGGCAGTAGCACTTGTAGCTCCCGTACGTGTTCATACACCGATGTTTACAAGGCCGCGGCTTCAGCCCGCACTCGTTCAGATCTGCACACATACAAACACACACAAGCACATACATAGGTCAAAAGTTTATCAAATAAATCCTCAATCTCTGTAACTCTCTCTCACTATTTAAAAACGTCTTCTTGATAGTGTCTTCAATCCAGATATGAGCGCCTTAATCAATGAATTATTTTTAAACCTTACATGGACCTATAAATGGTTGAAGAGGTTTTATGACTCTGATAATTCTATAATGACTCCCCTTAACTAAGTTATTTTTTTGGCCAACTAATCAATGATTGGTGTCTGTGTCTGTGTGTGCGTTTGTCTTTTCTTTATCTTTCTTAAATCTTTAATTCACATAAAAGGCCTTTATCTAAAACATTAAACAAACATCGTCAATATGAATAAAAAATCTGAAACTTTAAGGAGTTGTAAATGGGTCAAATGTTTAAACATGGGTTTAGGATTGTATAAAGGTATACATTGTCACATTTGTCTGACATGTTTTGTTTTTGAGGCCTGGCCTAAAAGCTAATGCAGCATCCTGGGAGTTCTCTTTTACAAAACACAAACCAACTTTACAAATACAATGGGTATAACTTGTATGACTATGAAGTGCTGTAAATAAATGAAGAAACAAGATTCTGGGTATATGTATGTGTGTGTGTGTGTGTGTATATGTGTGTGTGTGTGTGTGTGTGTGTGTGTGTGTGTATCTGCATGTGTGTGTGCATGTGTGTGAAGGCGTGCAGGAGCCTCTTCCAAGGAAGTGTCTCCTTGTTGGAACAGGCCCTTTTTTTGCTGTTTGATGATTTAACAGGAAGCCAGCGTGGCCTGTCTACCTGCCCATTAGCAGCGTGTGATGAAAGACACTACTGTGCACCCGGACTCCACCATACTTCACCATCAGCACTTTGTCATACACACACTAACTACTGCCTGCTTTTATAGACGCAGCTATGGTTACTGATTAAAGACACAAAACATTAAAAAGAATTACTCCAACCACACTTTCCTAGTCATTTACGGAAAGCTCTGAACAACAGGTGTGATTATATGCATTCACTTTAAGATAACACCACTTGAAAAGATCAAATATCAAAATAAAAGACGTTTAGGTCATGACGCACAAAGAACAAAAGTGGCTCACATGGTGAAAGCGTTTAGCTCTTACTCCACCTCAACTTGCTGTATATGAGGTACTTGTTGAAGATTGCTGCAAAGAGATGTGAGCTCCCAGTTTTGATATTATTGACGAATAGACAAACAAGTGTTGGTCTTAACATAGACTGTATCATAGTGGATTCTCTTATTTTAAATTATATTGTTTTCAGCCAGCAAAAGTGTCCCTTTGTTCCGGTTTTGGTTCAAGAATAATTGCAACCAAAGACCAACCCAAAAAAACATATATATTTCATTTCATTTCATTTTCAACCCGTTTATTAGTCCATTTCTGGGTTGGGGGGGTGGCAATGAGAGCTGCCACCCAACGCTCATAGCACCAGTCCCTCGCTGATCTTCTACAGGGGGTGAGTCCACAGGAAGATGGCTGCTCCGTCAGTTGTGAATCAGCCTTGATCTTTCAGCGGGGGGCTTCAGGCAACGTGGGGTTAAGTGTCTTGCCCAAGGACACAACGACAGCAGTCATCAGTGGGAGCAGTTGGAGTAGGTCCCATGGTGGGAATCGAACTCACGGCCTCCAGGCCCAAAGGCCAATGCTCTACCAACTGAGCTACTGTCGCCCCTATTTATTAAATTTAATATTTTATTGCTTATTTTTTTCATGGTAATGAAACAAAATACCACATTAATCCAGCAAGTATAAGTACAAATGTATAAACTCCCATTCTTTTATAGAGACATTTACGAATCATATATATTATAGCTACTGTATGTAACATTGTATAACTGTTCGGAATTTCACTGTGCCATACTCACATTATAATCAAGTAGAACATAATAAACTATAGAGTAGTATTTTTTTCCAGTGGTGTTTTTATGTAAGCTTTTAGGACAAAATATGCTCATGTTTTTACTTGTGAGGATAAGTAAATTTAGATGTCTTTTAAAATGAGAAAAAAAAACTAAAGAATAAATAACCTCACAATAGGAAATGCCTTTGGGCCTGTCAAAACTAGACAACTATACACTTTTCCATTTCAATAAACGACCTCTAATTTGATTAAAATAAAAATGATTATACCATTGTTTTTTTTAGACTTGGAATTGCAATCCAGGTGTAACTAATAGCTCTGATAAAAGCACACCATTCTGCAGGATATGAAAGCGTCCGGTTTCTTTGAGAGCGACAGGCACCACTTTCACTGTTTTCATTATAAACAGCAGGCCCAGCGTAGAGGTCAAGTGTGACCGTGGGCCTGGTAAATGGTCTGGTGTTGCCTCCAACCGTGTGGTTATCCAATTCACTTTATTATTCAGTGGAATGGGGGAGAAGCAGGCGTGAATACGATAGTGCTGTGAAACCAAGTCGAGCAGTTAAGACTTGTGTGTGAGCAGACTGACAAAGCATTCAGATATAAAAGTGCTCAATGGGTAATGGTTTGACTGGCAAGAAGACATTTTAGTTCATCCTCATGGAAAGCTAGTGGCAGCTTATCTTTTATAGTGGTTTGTGATTATTCTTTTCGGATAATTATTAAAAAAATACTTGATGAATGCCAACTTTAGAAGAAGAAGAAGATCTACTTTATTGATCTCACAATGGAGAAATTCGGTTCGACAAATAGTCATATACACAGCTAGACATGCAGCGTGCTGTTCCTTCCCCGCTCCAGTGTCTTGCCCAAGGACACAATAATAGCAGACATCAGTGGGGGTCGGTGGACAGGGTTATGCTATGGGCTCGAATCTGCAACCTTCAGACTCAAAAGCCAATCCTCTACCACGGTTGCCCCCAATACCAGTGTTAGAGGACATGGTCACTGAGAGAAGACCGCCCCAAATAGTTTTTGTAGAAGTGGAAAAAGTTCTAGACTCAGGTATTTAGGAAAATTAACTAAAATTATTGAAATCATTGCCAAACTACTAAGTAAAAGTATAAAAGTACCATCTTTTGTAAGTGCTTAAAGGCACACCGTGTAACTCTTGGCCACTAGGGGCGCTAGACCTGCAACTTTCACGTTTAGCGCCCCTAGTGGCCACAAGCAACTCAGCACTGTCGCAAAAGTCAACAAACAGTCAGCCGGTGTCTTTTGAGTGTGTATTCAGACAGCATGCACTGGTGTGTGTGTTCAAACTGTAGAGACATGCCTACAGATATTGAGAGACTCTGCTGTGGTCAGCCTCCAGACCGCTGCATTAGTAATCTACCACACATGGACTTCTATATCCTGGATGAGGGAGTTCTGCGTCTAGCTCGTGCTGCGTGGAATGACATCTTTGCAGTCGATGACATCCAGGAACCAGGTGAAGAGCAGCGCTCATACAGACATGCAGCTTACAGCACGATCCCTTTCGCGTTTCCTCTTTTTAGCCTCCTCCGAAGGTTTAACATTTTTCCTTGCCTCAGCCATGACCAGGAGTCGAGCAGGTGAAAAATGAGTAGCAAAAGCCTTAGCTCCATGAGTATATCAGCGCCTGTAGCCGTAAAGCAAGTCTTTCTTCCAAGTCACGTGACCTGGTGGCAGACGGTCCGTCTGCTCGAAACTTACATGGGCGGTATTTCAAGAGGGCAGCCCTGCTCGGAGCATTGCAAGTGTCAAGCGCTGTATATTGGCCCAAGTATTCATATAAAATAACTCATATGTGTCAACTCTTTAGGTCACAAAGTCCGCGGTGTGCCTTTAAAGGAATACAGGTTTTTCCAAAGAATCACCCTCTCCACTTTTTGAACAAAACTCTCTGATCTTATTTGACGAGCACGTATCACCAGCATGATTGACAACTGGGAGGACCAATAGTCTTGATATCCACCCAGAAGTGAACATCCTCCTGTATACCTTTAAGACAACTGACAACAAGTCAAAATTGATTTTTCTTGAATAATGAACAGATTGTATTATTTAAAAAACCATCAAGCATAGTTGCGGAAACACTTGAAACAACAACATACAGAGAAAATGACGATAAACAAAACCTGTGGAACTTAAGCCAAATGTGTAAATTTAGAAGCATGGATAACCAGAATTTTAAATGTGAGGAGAAAATACGGAGGAAAAGGTAAAAAGGTTTGGAGTTATATACAATTTAGCTTCATCCAACCCCTTTTTGAACCATGTATTTGTTATTTGTTACTGTCCATGTATATAAAAATGGGATAAATAAATACCACTACTACTTATATTCCATAAAAAGTGGATTGAAACACAGCCAAAAGCAAATCAAATAAAATGTGGGCGGAATGAAAGCTGAATGGACAAACATTGAGTAATTTCCAATCCCATAACTCATTGAACATCAGCATATAAATCCACCCTTGTCCCTGAGCCCTTCCTGAATCCATCACGGCTCTATATTAATTAAAGTATGGGCGCATTGATCTAGATGTCGCTCCTCAGGCTGTGCTCTGACTGACATGTTGAAATGGAAGTGGTGGATCATTAATACCATTAGTTCCACCCATACATCTCCTGCCAAAGTCGCAGTGTCCTTCGCTTTCACCGTCTAGTCTAACAGATTATGAAGTCATTACCGAGTCTGGAACCTGAGAAACGACGCTCATTGTTGGAGTTTGGTCTTTTTGTTCTCTCAGCGTTCCAGGGCAAACTTAGTAGATTTGTTGGTTTGAAAGTTGAAGAATACAGGATGGTCTGTATAGGTATGTCGGAACAGAGAGGCTGGATTTCCATGTCAGGGTCTATAGAAGTCTTGTCACCCCTAGATTAGGGTTTACAAAAGGAAAAGTGTCGCCCATTTGTAGAGCAGAAGAAAGGTTTAGCCAGGAATTACGGCGATTACTTTAGAGCTTGCAAGAAATGTAGAGTTGGACTTAAAATAACAGGCCGGGAAAGGAAAAATGGGATGTACAGTAAGCTGTAGCAGCAGTTGCTTAGGGCTGATGCTGTTTTGGTTTTATCCCT